CTTTTTAAAAATTTAAACATTCACCATATTGCTTGATCACACCTCGTACATATATGCACTTTGTCATTGACCAGACCTCAAGCCCAGGGCTTCATATCCAACAGAACATCTCCAGAGCTACGGCCAGCTCGGTCATGACCCACAACCACGGATGTAGTCCCGAGTGCAGCTTCTTTAGCTCCATGTTCTAATCAGTGGAGCTAACGTGACTGCCCAGTAGGCATGACGCAGAAAAGGAAACAGAGTCTGGGTGGACGTGACTGAAACAATTGCAACAACAACAGTGGGTTGAGGACTGGTCTACTGAGTCTGAAGCCTCTAGTAGGGAATGCCCAGGCCGATGAAATTGTAAAGTGGTAATTCCTGAGCTCTTCAGATTGCGTGGGCCAGTAACATTACAAAGACATTTAGGGGAGAAACTGAGGTTGCGAATTTTTTGTTTCACCAACCAACCAACCAACCAACCAACCAACAAACAAACAAAAACCCAATACAAAACCCCCAAGCTATCACAAATACAATATTCACTAATACAAAAATGGAATATGTTTACTTTACATTGCTCTAATAAGCTCGCGTTTTGGACCTGACTGGCAGAAACCTCTCCATGGACCTGTGACCAGGGGGCGATGAGCCTGAGACCTCTGCTGTAGAGACTACACAGCCGGGCACAGGCTGGCCAGCGGAGCAGTTTTATGAACATATGCCACTGACCTCTTCTCCTGACAGCTGCAGCCAGGCTACAAACCTAGTTTCAGTTTTGCGGGTTCCTACTTCAGCAAGTGCTCTGAGGCAATCATCAGCCTTCTGTATGCTACACCTCCCCCTGCTGCCTTGCTTCACTGATTAAATAATGTATCCCTCAAGACCAGCACAGTGCAGCATAGCACAACATGGCACATCTCTGAAGTACGAGGTAGTATTTCCTCATTTATCCTGAGTGTGAGTCCTTGCTCTCCTCACAGCGTCACATAGGGACCCAGCATGGCATGTCTTCCACAAACCTATACTCATCATATTCTTTATGTCTTTTCTCGCCTGTTTCTACAAAGCTAATGTCAAATGGATTAGTCAGAAGAATGGCAAGACCTATATAATTCATTCATTCATTCAATAAATATTTATTGAGAGCCAATTATGTACCAGTCTCTATGCCAGGTGACAAGGATATAGTAGTGGGCAAACAAACACTGTCCCATCTCTCATGCAGGGAGAACATGAGAGAAACAAACAAATAAATATCTAATTACGAAATGTGATACAAACAGGGGAAAACCAAGAGTGTATGACAGAGCATAACAGATGAAGTGGTTAAGAAAAGCTTCCCTGAGAAAGCTAAGGCCTGAGGGGTAATGTAATGACATTCATTGGTTTTGTCACCTTAGATCCACATTCTCTTCTGGTTACAATGCCCCAATGATTATCTTTGGGGGCTTGTATTCAAGGAGTCCCATTCTGCTCAGGTTGGGGTTGGGCATGTGACCAAGCTAGGTCACGCTGACTTCCTTTCAGGGCTTGGAATCTTGAATCGAGTTGTACAAAAAACAGAAAAAACCATAGTGGGCAGTGTGCTGAGGGAGGGGTAGAGCAGAATCACACTGCACCAGACCTCGTGGGGCTGGACTGAGTTTGGATTTTATCTTAAATGTAAAGGAAAGTTGTAAAGGTACTTTGAACATGGGAGGATATTTTTAGTAGCAACAAGTGTCACAAAGGGAAAGCAGAACAATCCAATAAACAGCATAAAGAGCTTTGCATTGATGACCCCAGTTCTGCTCTGAGCAGGCTCCATGAACCTAGGAATTTGTCAGGGTCTTCTAATCTCTCTTAGCTCTGGTTTCCTCATCTATAAAACGAGGTGGCGGATTAGTTGACCTCTAATTTCCCTTCCTAATGTGATGTTTCATATCTATGGTGAAACCTTGTCAAACTGGACAAGGTGTCCGCCATTAAGAAGTTCATGAAAAAATGGGAGAGATAAGCACACCAATCTCTATAACAATTGTTGTGTTTCAAGGATTTATAATATTTAAACAGGCTTAGAAGCCAATATTGCCAGCTCATTGTCATGTTGGCTGCCAAACAGTACTTGGCTCAGCAACCAATTCAATGAAGAACTTTGAAAGAAGGCATTCTTTCAAATGTGTGATACTCCCCTAAGCTGAGACATAGTAACTTCAAGTGAATGTTTCTTGACAGAAAACAGTAATGAGAGTATTGACTCTTGGGTGAATTTCACCAAGACCTTGCAACTCTCAAAATGCCTATGTGTGATGTGTGTATCAGTTATCAGTTATCTATTTCTGTATAACAAACAAAGTGGCTTAAAACAACAACCATTTTATTTTTCACAGTTCTTGGGTTGGCTGGGGTCACGCATGTGGCTGTATTCAGCTGGTGGGTTGGCTGGGGGCTGCCGCAGCTGGGATGGCAAGCCTCTCTCTGCCCGGGGTCTTCCATCTTCAAGGAGTTTAGACCACATTTTTTTACTTTATATACTGTGTTCCAAGACAGGAAGCAGTACTGCACAAGTGCTCATGAAACATCCCCACTTTTACTATATTCTGATGTCCCAGTGGCCAAAGCATGTCACATGGCCAAGCCCAGGGTCAATATGGGGGGGGGCTACCCAATTCATTTGAGGCCATTAGTGTAACAATGTGTGAACGTTCCCTCTTAGACATGGATGGCAAGATATGCAACTTTAACTTATAAAGTTAAAGTCTCACAAAGACACAATATACACATTATTACTAGTATAAGGAAGCATTTGAAGTCATCTTATTAAGGGACTGAATCCTACATTAAAGGGCTCTGCTTGCTTCATAGAATTATTAATTTTTAGCAGTGGACTTGGGAAGTTATGCATATAATATTTAGAAGAAAATGGCATTTACAATTATAATGAAGTAAAGTAACTCACACTGCAATACTGCCCCAATTTGGAACTTCAGGCTTGCTAATTTCATATTTAGCAGCATCCATGCACCCCCAAATTCCTCTGCCCTAATATGTGCTCACCTATCTTATCCGCTAGACCTCAAACTCCTTTGAGGATAGGAATCTTACCTCATCCAGGTTTATTTCCCTTACTTTCACAGCACGCACAACACTCAGGAGATGTGCCCCAAACGCTTGTTAAGTAACCTAATCAATAGCTGTCTTTTATTAAACACACATATAGTCCAGGGACTTCACTCACAGACTGGATCACCAATTCTCTCTCAATGCCACAGATAAGTGTTATTCTCCACAGTTTACAATTGAGGGGTCTGAGGTACAGAAAGCCCAAGGTGGATGGGCTGAAATGCCAGCCCAGTCCCACCCGATGTCACTTCACTGCTGCTTTATGTGAGGAGCAGGAAGGGGGCTGTCAGAACTGAAAAGATGGCTTTGAGAGAGGGGCAAGAAGAAAACAGTAAGAGGCCTGCAGGGGCCCGGAACCTGTTCACTGCCTTTGCAATAAAATAAACACTTGTTAATTGAGAGATTGGCCACTGAAACCCGGATGGAAAACCTGCCGGAGAGCCAGTTCTACAGCTCTTATTAATACCAAGACGAGTTAATTCTTGGGGGTGGGGAGAGGACGGCCTTGCTCCCAGGGCTGGCCCTGTTGGATATGATACAATACCACATATACAAAGGCATTACTGTTGTCCTCAGGTGAAAAGATAGGTAGCCATTATTTTACAATTTGTCTATGGTTTTTGTTATCTCCTAGATCAGTAACGTACTAACAATAGCTACCATTTATATACTACAGTAAACGTGTGTGTGTGTGTGTGTGTGTCTGTGTGTCTAAAGTGCTTTACATATAATGCATGATCTCAGTGAATGCTCCCAACAAAAGTAGATTTTACTATTCTTAATTTACAGATGAGGTAACTGTGCCCAGGGAGATCAGCTTTCCCAGCTTTTAAGTGGTAGATCTAAAACCGAAGTCTATTTGACTAAAATCCTGTAACATTTAGCTGTGGATCTCTTGCGGCTTCGGTGCTGGTCTGAGGTGGGGAATTGTGAATCCCATTTATTTATGCAAAGCTGTGTGTGTGTGTGTGTGTGTGTGTGTGTGTGTGTGTGTGTGTGTGTGTGATTTACAAAAAACCAAATCCAGGTCAGGATATCTTGAGGCTTCAAAGCCTATATGGGTGGAGAGAGGCAAAAATCTCTCCTCGTTCATTCACTCTCTCGCTCCGTCAAGAAGTGTTTATTGCGCACTTCAGTATTCCAGGCAGGGCGCTACCCTAGCCCTAGGAGAGAGAATGGTGAGGAGGAGACACACGTTTGCTCCCCTAATCCTCTCCCCTCCCCGCCCCCGATTTTACTATTTCGTGGGCGAAGCAGAGAAACAGGAAACGTATCAACCCGGGGGATGACTTCTGCCCCGGCTGCACTGGGGCAGGAGGAAGCGTGCTGAGAGGCTGGGTGGTCAGGGCAGGCTCCCCGGAGGCGGCGGCGGGCCCAGGGCCGGGCACGCGGGAAGAGTCTCCAGGCTCCGCGGCCCCTGCTCGGAAGCGAGTTGGGACCGAGCCAGGGGCGGGGCTGGTGGGGACAGGAGGTGGCGGGGGCCGGGGCGGGGGCGGCCGCCGACTTAGGGTTAGGGCGAGAGGATTCGGCTTCCCGGCGGCAGAGGGCGCCTGGCGCTGCGGTCCGGCGCGTCGGAGCCGCCCGTGCGGGCGCCGAGAGGAGAGGAGAGGCGAGGCAAGGAGCGCGAGCGGCGGCGGCCACTGCCACGTATTCCCGGCAGTGGCGGCGGTGGCGCGGGAGGAGGTGAGCGGCGCCGGCGCCTGCGGGCAGGTGGGCAGGGAGCGGCGCGGCGGCGGGGCGAGCGGGCGGGCGGGCTCGGAGACCCGGCGCCGGGCGGGAGTGCGGGCGCTGGGACGGCGCGGTTCCCGCCACGCCGGCTCCGCCTCCGCCTCCCTCCGCGCCGGGCTCACCGCCGAGGCCCGAGCGCCGAGCAGGTCCCAAGCGCAACTCGTGCCGCCTGGGCGGGCAGGGGCGCGGGGAACGCGAGCCCTCCCGTCGCGGCTCCGGACGCGGACTCCCCGCCGCTGCCGGGCCCCGGCCGCAGCCAGGAAAAGTTGGGGCGGACTGAGAGCCTGCGTGTGGCGGGCGGGAAGTGCGGGTGCCGGGCGGACTCGGGGGTCGGAGGGACGCGGTGAGAGGGGGTCCCCGGCCCGAGGCGAGGCGGCCGGGAGGGCCCGATTGGGGAAGGCGGGAGACGCGGGTCCTCTGCGGCCGGGGAGGAAGGGGTGCGTGCACTCAGGGTCTCGGGCAGGAGTGGACAAGTGTCCGGCCGGGGGCTCTGCGGGTGACGAGGGAGGGAGGGAGCGAGGAAAGGAGGCCCCACGAGGGCCGAGCCTGGGGGGCCGGGGACCAGAGGCCAGCCGGCCGCAGAGTAGAGCGCTGGGGCTTTGCCTCCCCCAGCCCCTTTCGGGGTAGACCCTGAGAGAGGGGCCAGGCTGAGTTGGGGACACCTCTGGCGTCTGAAGACCCAATTGGGAGTTCCTGTAAGGGGTGCGGGGAGAGAGTCAGGCGTTGCTTCCTCTACGGCTTGGGTCGAATACGGCCCCTCCCCATCTGCCACATTCATCTCCCAGACTGACTGCATGCTTTTGTCCTGGGGAAGTTGAGGAGGGACCCCTCGGTGAAGGAGATATTTCAGGGTACCAAGGTGAGTAGGAATGGGCTGCATGGAATCATAACCGTCGCTGGGAAATGTCTGAAAACACAACTCCGACCACCTCACACGCCCACGCCATTCCCGCTCCATTACGCCAGTGTCCGCGTCCCCGGTCCCTGAAGCCCAGCGGCACCTCTGCTTACAGGATCTTGGGGATCCTGCAGGGGGTATAAAACATGGCCTTTTATCCTCTGGCTGAGGTTGGCTATTTCTGAAACAAGTGGTTCTGGAGGTGCTGACTGCTTTATTAGGGCAACCTGTATGGTGCCCCTTGACAATGGAGATGATGCATGTTGGCTTTTATTTTATTTATTTTATTTTTTCCACCCAAATAAACTTTGTTTATTCAAGACACAAGTATGTCAGGTCACTTGCAACAGTGTTAGAGCTGGAGACCTGCACTGTAGGCCTCTTTGAGCCATAGTTCTAGTCTTACATATATTAGCAAGAAGTATGACCTTGGATGAGTCAGTTGCCCTCTCTGGACTCAGTTTCCTTATCTGTGAAATGGGATATAAAGAGAGAGCTAGACAATTTGATAGAGGCAAGAGTAGGTTTCTGACTGAGATCTTTTTCCTTGTGAGCCTAGATCAGCTACACACAAAGTCAACCTCAGCCTGTTCTTATGAAGAAGTTAGGATGGACTTCAAGGAAGACATATGAGAAGCAAGAATGATTGCAAAAAGCAAGAGAAAATAAAAAACTAATAATTGGTACTAGACTTAAGAGTATGGATACTGTTCTCATGCAGGCAATTAGTGTACATGGCTGCCCAGCTATTTTTAGTACAAAGTTAACTGTTAAAAAAAATTACATTTATTTCACCTGTGGACCTGAATTTTTTTTCTTTTGTTTTAACCTTCAAGCCTGGAGTGGATGCTCAGTTGGATTGGTCTTGGTGCAGCCTTACTTGAAGAAGGATCTCTCATTGCCATAGTATTGTAGAGTTCCTTCTGTCTGACTGATGTTGGGATCCTTGTACCGCCATACTTCTGTCATCTTTTTCATTGTGGCTTGAGAAAGTGGTGAGCTGATTCCTGTTGCATCTGACATTTCTGAACTTCCCAGGTTTCTTTTTCAAGTGAGTGTAATTAATAGACAAACAATGCATGAGTCGTAGCACATTAAAATAGCTGAAGGTAATAACTGTCCACGGTATCCCTTTTCCCCAGACCTCCTGGGCAGCCTCTCACTTGAACTTCCAGGTCACCAGATGGCCATCCCGTTTTGGATGCTAAAGGTTATCACTAAGTCAACATGACATGGCCAGGTCAGATAGCACATTAATGATCAAGCCATGGTGCTGGAAGGAGAGGAGGATTTTTTTGTATTTTTTAATCACTGAATGCCTCTGTCCTGTTTTCTTACATTAGTAGCTTTCAAAATCCATATTGGGTTCAACCACATCATTTTCAGTCATCTTTTTTTGTCAGTTTTTTGGAAGCTGCTGTTAATGGTTATCTCTTGAGTTTGAGGTAGTGGTAAAATTATCTCCTCTCTGACAAGTAAAAGCTTGACTAATTAGGTTGAATCTTTAAAATATCTGTAGTGTGTGTGTGTGTGTGTGTGTGTGTGTGTGTGTGTGTGTATACACACACACACCTATTTGTTTGTGTGTATTTAAATTTTATTTTAAGGGCTAGTCAATTAGTAAAAGTCATGATGCTAATAATAGTTACCATTTGAACCCCTACCATTTATCAGGCATTGTGAGGTGAGAAAAGAGTTCAGAAAGGGCATAGCTCTGTATTACAGCTGGCTTGCACAAGTTACTGATGATCTCTGAAACCAAACAGCCTTCTATAATCATGAAAAAGGAATTCTTAGCTATTCTACAGGGTTGCGATGTTAAATGAGGTAAAGTAATGGAAAGCACCATGTAAACTGTAAAGTGCCCTCCAGTCCAGACCAGTGTTTTAACAAGCAGTTGAAGCTTATGAGTCCGTGGGTTTTGGTGTCTGGTGGGCCTGGGTGTACACCCAGAGCCCATCTCCTGACCCCACTGAGCCTGGCTTCTGTATATGTAAAATCAATATTATCGGCCTTATATTAAATGAGGTATATCTGTGAATTGCAATGGGTAGTCAGTGAAGGTTGGCATCCACCCCTTTCTCTCTCTTTGCCCACAGGCATTTGGGATAATGGCATTGATTAAGTCTTCCAGTAGGAATTGTCCTCAAGGGGAAAAGGTTTTTAAAGTACCCTTTTGTACTTACGAATAATTCTTCCTGCTTTTGCCTTCCCACTCCAGCCCCCAACACACAGTATCAGTATTCCATGTCCTGCTATCATCTAAAAGGCTGGAATTGAACGAAACCGGAAGCTAGAAAGAACAGGTCTTTGATAGGAAGGTGAAGATGGAGGAGGTGGCTTGTTTCCCTTTGCCTATTTTTGCCCTTCTTTTTTATTTATCTTACAGACAAGGAAAAGATCCTGAATTTAGGGGGTTTCTAACTGGAAGGAGGCATTGGAAAAGTTATAATGCGGAGTGGGAGGGCAGGGCAGACATGGTTTGGGAAGAAGATGGAAGAGTAGAATCTGACTGTAAAAGCTGGAAAACTTGGTGTGGGAGAAATCTGTTAGATACAGGATTTGGCTAAGTGTGGGGCCAATTTCCATCTAGCCCTAGAAGGCTCTCTGGTGGGGCTTTGAACTTTTCGTGCTCCAGGCAGATTTTGACTGGTTGTGGTTGCATCATAAAGGAGTTTCCATAGTAAGTTGTATGCTGAAAAGGAAATTCAATTCCAAGAGGGTGTTTGTTATGACTGATGCCAAAATTTCTCTGAGAATTTTCAGATTCGGTCTATAAAAGTACCTCTTCTCTGAAGATATTAATTAAGAAATAGTTTTAAAAAATGGAAGTGTATCCTTTGTGAGCTTTTGAAATGTAATCCTTCTAAATCTTTGGAACAAATGAAGTCAAAAAATCACAGAGCTATATATTTTAAAAGCATTTCCTCCCAAAGTAATGTTTTCCTTCTCCTTCCTTTCCCTCCCCTCCCTCCTTTCGTATTCTTTTGCAAATGAGTTGATTTGGGTGTCTTTCACATTTGGAAGCCTAATTTTTATGTTTATAATCCCTAATCTTTTCTTGAGTTAATTCGTCTTCATTCCATATGAGGCTCATTCCATATGATGTGGTAGTACAGCCAGGTAGGTGGTGAAGAGCACAGCCTCCGGAGCCAGGTTGGGGATAGGTACAGTGGTGATCGCAGAGCTAGGCTCTCTACCACTTAGATTTAATCTTCACAGATCTGGAGGTTGATGGTGTAATTCCCAGCGCACAGAGGAGGAAATGGGCACAGAAACACATGTGCGCCCACACAGCCAGCAAGTGGTTATAACGTCTGAGAGTGTCAGCCAAGATCCGTGCAACTCCAAAACCTGTGCAGGTAGAGGCCTCACACACCCTGCCCAGGGTTGGACTCTGTCCTCTGGGCTGGGAGTTTTCATTAAGGGAGAGAGGGTTTAGAAAGGTTAGCTCCGTGAGCTGTGTGGAGGGAGAAATGAGGAGTGGAGAAATGAGTCTGTTAGAGTAACCGGCACAAGAGATGATGAAGGCTTGAACTTAAGACATTGAGATAGCGGCAGTGGTGATGGAGAAAAGGGGATGTGTCAGGATGGGTAGTGCTTAGTGTCCCCGCTCCCCGTATTGCAGATGCAAACCGTAGACTGAAAGCAATCTTCGCAGAAACCAAAGTTGTCTCCTTTGGCCTCTTCTGACAGGTAGAGAAGGTACTTGAGTAAAACCTGAAAGCGCCTTCCCCTCACTTTGCCCACCTCCTTGCCTCCTCATTTCTGCGTTCCAGGAGCATCTCAAAGGATGGAATTCAGGTTGCTCAGACCCCATTTAGGGAAATGCTGGTTTGAGCATTCAAACAAAGTGGAAAGTGTTCAAGGGGAAAACCCCCCAGAGAGGGAAGCTTAGTCTACACCCCACTGTTCCCTGGTGGACCCACGGGGTGTGGGCCTCAGCTCTGACCCCAAGAATTGATCCACCTCTAGGCCTGGGTGACTTGTACTCACCAAGCATAGAGCGGCTGGCTGGGAAATGGGAGTGGTGGTGGGTGAGTTCACAGCAGTGGCCAGCGCTTCCAGGAGGGCTTCCAGGAGGAGTGGCCACCCTCCCCTGAAAGGTGCCTTCTCAGTGGGGAGCCAGACCATACTTGGATGAACTGCATTCAGAGCAAGTGGAGATGACTGGCCCTGGTGGCTAGTGTCCACATGTCCCTGTCATAGGATATTCTGTTTCCATGTCAATAATATGCTGGTCTCATGCCCTCCCCCCTAGTTAGTGCCAGACTCTAATAAACTTGCTTGGGCTTTTGTTTTCCAGATGGCATAATACCCAAGCCCTTCCGATAGTATGGTTTTGCTTGGGTCAGGCCAGTTGATCAGGTTCCGGCTTTATTTAGGCTGCATCCTCCTTGTGAGGAGGGTTACCTTTACTCAAAGGGTTCCCTTGTTGGAATGCC